TTCGGTAATGCGCTTCACCATATTCGTAACGAGAACCTGCAACGAGTCAAAGCCATTACTCCTACGCTTTAATGGTCTCGATTGATACCTTCCGGCTACTCGTGGGAGACGTAGAAATCATCCGAGGACTGGACGCTGCACTATTGATGACGAGATCAGTGGCCAGACATATAGGGCTACCAGGCGCCTGATTTACAATACAACGTAACCTTATACGAGTGTGTCACACTGTTGGAATATATGTTCACTTTCCTCAGCTGGGTCCAGGAGCTCTCACGCACTACAGAAATTCACATACAGACTCGGGTGTACAGAAACCAATGAGAATCACTCAAAGTTTCCTCAGAATTTTCACAATTCTCACCAACACAGTTACCAGTGCAGTGATAGTTGACCATGTGCATATTCTCCCACACTTGTCTGCTGCTTATTACCGACAATATCTGCCGTGTTGCAACATCAAGCCCATCATCTATCCTAGGGCCAGTGAGATGATCTCTGGTCTGAACTAACAGTCTACCAACAAGGTCAGTCACCGTCACACAGTCCGTACCTGAGAATTGCGTCCGAGACAGAACGATAGACCCTCCCCCCCAGCTTACGTTTAATAACGCGGAGTCTACCAGCGTCTCTAAGATCATCATAAGCGCATCTTCCTCCACCATTCACTGGCATATTATCGCCATGAATCTGAAGAGACCACTTCTACACTAATTTCAACTATAAGCAGCATACACAGAAATCGGCCTTGATTGTATCCAAGAATTCCTTGGTCGGCACCACCGGTACGCCATACAGTACTTCGTCCACCCACTTCAAATGCTTCAGAAAAGCATATCTGCTGCTCATAATAGCCAACTCAGGAGACCATCGACTAACCTTTCCTCTTGCTTCATAACAGGCAGCGCCTTGTCCGGAATGATATCCCTATCCGCGTACACCCCAACAATGAGGACGTCACATTGAGCTGATCAACGAGGATAACCCATCCAATCAAATCTCTTTGGGCATCACCTTTGGCCTGCCTCATAGCGCTGTAGTGACCACTGTGCATGATGTCGAAACACCCATCTAGATAACCACGAACCTATCGAGAGGACTTCGAACGGCTTATGCCTAATTGTCACCTTCTTCCGTTCGGTCACAGTAGCGTTAGGACCCGGCATTATAAAGACAATACGAAGAGCCTATTACTGATGCAGAAACAATTTCCTATAGTGTATGTGCATTATCATCCACAAG